GTTTATGTGCAGTTTATAGTTATCGCACTATCAGTAGACTAAAGACTGGAAAGTGAATATTAAAATGAAGTTGTGACCCATTCATGTCTAATGCTCCCAGTAAATCTACTTCCAAATATTATTAAGATGCACATCCTGCCTGCTTAGTACAAACAGCAATGAATTACAATTTAGGTATTAGTAGAATTTCTGTTCACCAAAAAAAAAAAAAAAAAAAAAAAAAATACTACCAATTTATAAAAGAAGAAACAACTGGGTTATGATCCAGAAACAAAATCATTATTGTTTGGTTCCTATACTCTTTTCTTATATACTCTATTCTTTCAGTATTATAAGCATATTTTGGTTCTTATTAGTGCTTCTGTATACTCTATAGACATTGAATTATTAGTAACTTAATTTTGATGTCATATGCCATATATGAATATAAATTATTTCCAGTTGCTTCTCCCAAAGTACAATTAATTCTTTTTAATTTTTTTTGATTTATTTACTTCAATTTCATGCCTATGAGTGCTATGCCTGCATGATGTAAATGCACCTGTGTTGTACCATGCCTGTTCCTGTGTTGTTCAGTGCCTGCAGACGCCAGAAGAGGGTATCAGATCATTTGGAACTGGATTTACTTAACAGTGGTTAGCCGCCATGTGGGTTCTGGGAATTGAACCTGAGTATTCTGCAAAAGCAGTCAGTGCTCTTAACTTCTGAATCATCTCTCCAGCCCCAATGAACAATTAATTCTTAAGACTGAAGACTTAAGGCTGGAGAGATGGCTCAGCAGTTAAGAACACTGGTTGTTCTTGCAGAAGACCTGGGTTAGAATCCCAGCACCCACATGGCAGCTAACAACTGTCAGTAACTACAGTTCCAGGGGACCCGACCACCTCTTCTGACCTGCGCGAACATTGCAAGACGGTGCACTCACCTACATGCAGGCAATACACACATACACATAAAATAAAAATAATAAATTAAAAATGTTTTTTAAAAAAGACAAAGTGAATTTCAAAAACATTCCTTTATTTTTAGAGAAGAATGTTTATATTATGGTATAAATATAATAAAATTAATAGATTCTAGAATGTTATTTATTTTTAATGAATATATTTATCTCTCCTGATCACAACATTGTCTAACATTTGTTAAGGTCCAGAGTTGGGCCCCCTACAAATTAAAATTTAACTATAAGTCAATCCATAGCATTATTTTCACCTACATTTACTTACAGATATTTCTCTTTGTAGCCATTACATAGAAGAAACGCATCTGAGAAACATTTTTTCCTATTTTGGAAAATTTCCAAAATATTTAGACATTTAAATTTATTAGAAGTAATGCAGTTTTATGTAGATTTATGGTGCTCCAAACTTTTTTTGTTTGATTTCCCTCTAGGAATATTAAGTTCACAGTCAGCTCTGACAGAAATGCTACTGCCAGATTATGGTTGGTATTTCAAATAAAAATGCTGAAATGTGGGCCGCAGCCTCCAGTTTTAGCCCAATAATTATCGGGCAGCTGATTACTTGTAGGTGATGAAGAGTTTATCTTCTTTTTCCTTTTTATAATGTTTTATTTATTATTTTTATTTTATGTGTATGAGTGTTATGCCTGCTTGTAGGTAAGTGCACCGGGGTCATGCAGTGCCTGTGAAGGACAGGAGAGGCTGTCAGATCCCCTGGAACTGGAGTTAAGGATAGTTGTTAACTGCCATGTGGGTGCTGGGATTCGAACACGGTCTTTTGCAAAAATAGCCAGTGTTCTTAACCACTGAACTATCTCTCCAACCCCTGAGTTGATCTTCTTTAAAGGAGTGACTCTAGATAGGCTGACTAGATCCCAGTGGATGAATGTGCACTGAAGGATATCTAGAGAAAACTTGACTTGATAGGTCTTAACGTAAATGAAGGAATGCATGAAATCCAATGGGAGGCTGTGGGAGGGTACCCATGGGGAAGGGATATAACGCTAATTAAGATAGTATGCATGAAATGCACAAAATTTTCAAGTGAAAATATACAAAAATGCTATAATATGCGTTCAAAATTAGCTTATCATTCCAAAGTTGAATTATGTATTTTGAAGAGTGTATTTAAGTATTTCAATGATATATTTGAAGTTAGAGAGAATTACACAATCTGGATTTGGAGTAATTAAACTAAAGTTCCTCTAACATTTTTCTTATTTAGGTTCTGAAGGTAAGAGGCAGAGAAAAAAGTCTTTACATGTAGAGAGTATTTGAAATTTATCAGCTATATCTTGTGTTAAAATGATCTACTATACTGACAAGTAACTAGCAGCCTTGAATTGCTGCTCAGATTTCTTGTAGTTAATAATTCTCAGTGTTATAGGGTCATCTTTGAAACATATTAACTGTACTACACTATTAAATGACTATACATGAAATGTGTGTCATTATGAATGAAGAATATGGGTCTATGGGCATTTGGGGGGCAATTTGATTTCTTTCTGCATGATTTATATGCACAGGCAGAGATAACTTAATCCTCAAGAGTGTGCGAGTAATTTATTTTGAACCACTGGAGTAAAACTGGACAATAATTTATATGACTTTTAATGGGGTGCTGCAGCCAAGGTAAATAGGACATTGAAAGCACAGAGCTGTTGTCACTCTGCTGTTTATCTTTGGCTTGTGCACATGAACATTTTTGTAGCAGCACCAAATTATTTCACTGTAATTCATGCAGAAACACAACCACAGAGATACAAAGAGAACATACATTCTGCTTCACACAATCTTAAATAGCAATTAAAAATTAATATTCGGCTTAGGGAATTTTTATTTAAGTTGGCTTTTCCCATATCGCAGCAATGAAATGTTACAGAATAATCATGCAAAATAAATAAATACATACTTTTATGTATGGATATAATATATGTATTTACACACAGAATGAAAATGGATTTTATTTCACAAAAAGTATTATGTTCTATTCTTTTATTTTTAAGTCATTTTAGAATTTTCTTTAATACAATGCAAATACTTCCTTGTGATTATTATACGTATCTTTGTAGTACTGAAATATAAGGGGCAGAATTGAATATTAATTTGATATGTAATTGAATGAATGTACTAAAATGTTAATTAATGCACCATAATTAACTACCAGTGTAAAAGAAATGTTGATTGTCCTTGTATCAGTGTGCACTTCTTAATTCTACTTCAGCATGAGAAAAATATATATTCATAATATAAATTGAAAAATTATTATAGAAATAGACAACTTTTAAGTGTATATAAAATATATTTTTCCATTTTCCATAAATTTATTTCAAAAAATTCTTGCCTGGCTGTAATTATTTTTTTCTTTAACATAATGCATGTCTATTTTCATTCATTAAATTCTGCACTCTTGAAAGTCTGGTGCTCTAAAGGTGGTGTAAACCCATTAAAAGTCATTTTCAAGCTGGGCATGGTGCACATGCATTTCATCACAGCACTCTGGAGGCAGAGGCAAGGGAATCTCTGTGAGTTTAAGACCAGCCTAGTCTACATAGCGAGGAGTTCCAGTCCAGCTGAGGCTAAAGAGAGATTATGTCTCAAAAAGACCAAAAAAATAAAAAAAGTTCATTTTTTGATATACTATTTTTGAATATCCAGACAGATTTCACTGTGTAACTCTGCCAGGACTATGAACAAATGAACAAGGACAGACAGACAGCAAAGGAATTCAAAACTTGAATAAAGAACTGCAAGCAGTGAAATCAACTGTTTTCTCATGTTTCATTTTCTTAAAACATTTATCCAAGGAATTGCTGGATCCTGGAACTGCTCAGTAGGCAAGGACTGCAAAATCTACAGAAAAATTGTTCTTCTATTGGTAACTATAAAAATATTTTACTGAGTTTTTGTGCATTTTGTATAATAGTCTTGATCAAATTTAGACCCCTTCCCACATCCAAGCTTCCCATACCATACGCACACACTGGATTTCATACATTTGTCATAAATCTTTAGTCCTATTTGTTCAAGCTTTTGTACCCAGATATCCTTGGTGCAAGTTTTCCCACTGTAGTCTAGTGTGCCTATCTAGGGTCACTTTCTTAAAGATCTACTCTCCCATCATATAGCAAAGTGTATTGCATACAGAAAGCAGCAACTGACCAAGTTTAAAAAACAAGAGACTGCAGACTGCATGCCCCTGGACAGGACTCCTATATCAAACTTCACCCACCCACGGCTCCGGGACCATTGCAGAAAAGGGAGCAGAAACATAACATGAACATAAGAAAATGGAGGCTTTTAGGCCACTAGGAACTTGCTCAAATGAACTTGAAACAATGGTGACAACATGCACAAGACCCATGTCATCTCTATCAGACAAAAACAAAAACAAAACAAAACAAAACAAAAAACAGCATACAGCAAGAGAATGTGAAAGGAATCCATTGCATGTGATCTGACTGTATGGTAGCATTTCCTTGTATATTTGGAGGCACTAATGACATCATGGCTGTATAACTTTAGACTATAACTTGTACTATTATCCCACATTTCAAAACAAAAGCATCTCTCAGTCCTAGTGAACCAGAAAATGACCATTGTTCGGAACCAACTAAGGAATATGACAAAAATATTTTTCTCATTTTTTATAAAAGATCTCACTTGCTTAACTATATAAAGATGACAAGTTGACAGTAAATAGCACAGCATATGAAATATTTACCACAGCATGTCGAGAATCAAGCATACTGATACTAAACCAAGCTGTACACTTTGGGTAATTACTAGCTGATTTGTTGAATAGAGTGATTATATTATGAAAATTTAGGATTAAGTCTGCTTTAAATGGTTCTATTATAACTTCCTATATTGATTTTATTCACATAAATAATGCTATCAATATTTTGGAATTGATGTTTCTTGATAGACTTTACCCTTCTTTTTACTACACTTGCTCTCATGTCACTCACTCACATGGAAGCAACTTCTCAGATTTGGACGTGCCTTGTATCGTGTGATATATTTTTTTTTCCTGCAGACATAAACAAATGTCTGTTCACACCAGATGGGGCAATGAAACAGACCAATGAAATCACTTTAACCAAGGATATTGAGGCCACTTACAGGAATATGAGTGAGAGGTATGTACAGTAGCATGGGTGACTCAAAGCAGTTTTTACATCAGCTGGCAGTCCAGCACATGATGGGTGAAGACTTGTAACAGCTGTTCCCTGGAGCTCCTTTTTCACTGCTTGCAAGCAACTTTTCCAGTTGACAGAGATTCTTCTCTCCAACAATTGCTAATGTTTATATGACCCTGAGGAAGACCTTCATGCATTTTCTAAGATTCAGGAGGTGTTATGACTCTAACTCCTACCTTCAGGGAAGAAAGTTTAGTTCAGGTGGCATAGCAACACAATTTCTTCCACCCTTTTTGCCCTTTGTTAACTTTTTTTTTGCTAAAGAAAGATCTCATCAGAATCTATCTTATGACTGAGCTTAAATAAATATATATACATGGTATAAAATATAAAACAATAATGAGTGCATTTTGAATTCAGAATGAATATCCTAAATTTTCATGTGTTGATACATTATTAAATTTC